CGCCCGTATCTACTGCCATAGTCAGGCTATTTTATTATTTTTTTTTTTTTTTCAATCTCTGTACATTGTGGGTATGTTATTGCCAAAGTTTTTGATAATAGCTACATTGTTTAATGGCCGAAAAATAATAACCTGGGTTGCAATTTAAATTCGGTCTTATTCTAGAATCTTGAACATGGTCCATTTAATTTTTTAGACGACTCGCCTGATGTGGCACTTGTAAGGGATTTCATTCAGGCCCAGAAGAGACAATAAGACTTGGGTCATTTAGTCATTATTGATGTTATGTTTTCAATGTATTGTTTCTTGTTTTTTATTATCAGCCAAGTTTTTGTTACTTTATCCTCAATATTTTTTTTTTTTCTAAAATCATTTTATTTTATTTTTCCTCCACAGCTGAGTTATTTTTGTTCAATAAAATTTTTCCTCGATTTTTTTTTTTCTTCTTTTTCCTGTTAGAAGAGAAAAAAATTGAAGAAAAGTTGTTGAAGCAAAATTGACAAATTAATAATAAGTTTTATTCGTACCAATTTATGTTACTAGACGCGAATATTTTAATGTAACTACTTCAATAAGAATTCTTAAATACACTTTGGAATATATTTAATAATGCAACTACACAAATTTAGTAAATGAATTAATTATTTAACGGACCAAAGGAATATTCAAGCACTTGATGAAGTGTACAAAATAGTTTTCTTAATGTAAATTTAATTAATATAATAATATTTTAATTTTTATCTAAAATGCAATTTATTACTCAACATTTTCTACTCAATATGCAACAGTTTCATTTTATTAATAAATCAAAAATTCGTTTATACGTAAAATTATTTGAATAAAAATTCATCTAGACTTTCAAAGTAACAAAATTGAATTCAATAATTAATTGAAATTGATTGCAATGTAAAATTGATAAATATTCACCTCCAAAAAATTTCAAAACATTTTTTGATTAAAACGATAAAAAAAAAAGAAAGCAAAGTAAAACAAAAATGGATTTTTATTAAATTACAGACTTATAAATTCAATTTTATATGTCTATTGCATTTCGTACAAAAATAAAGCTTTTTAAAACTTGGCCTCATATCTTTGAGTACATATCTTGTTCTTTATGTCAGTTTGAAGGCGCAGAAATGGAAAAACCCCAGAGAAATATGCGAAAGTATTGAACATTTTATTTCTAATAAAACCTTTATATTTATTCTATTTACATCAAAATGTTTAGCAAAATATACTGAGTTGAACTTTTGACATAAAAATATCTCTTAGATATCTATTCTATACAAACATAATTCATTTAATTTTTCATACCGAGGAATGTTCTTAAATCAAAGAAATGAATGTGTGAACAGAGTCTCTTTAATCTTTACTGTGACAGTTATTTAATCGCATAAAAATTATTACACTAAACCGACATAATAAAATGTTCGTAAATAAATACCATAAAAGTGTCTCCATTTGAAATTTAATATATTGCATTTTTTTTACCACTTTTAAAGCCAATATTTTTTCATACAAATATCCTTCTGATCTTTCAAGCATGTCTATGCCATCTTCAATGATATGGATGATATATCAATGAAATTTCCTTATTGAAAATTTCCGATAAAATATTGCTTTAGTTTAATAAATGTACATTTTTTCTTTAATAATGGATATTAAACAATAATCTATCAATTATATCTTAAGACACAATTATGTGTTATTAGTGCAAGCTAAGGTAATTAATTACGCTAGTATAATGATAAGCGAGCTAAAACTACCGACTGTTTCTAATATATTATCGTACAATCAGAGTATTTGCGATTTGTAATTGTTAATTAGCTGTTCACTGAGCTGTAGAGTCAGTTTAATTCATTTCCCTCAATTATGTATCTCAATATTTTCATAATGCATGAAGGAGCATCATTGTTATTATGCATTCAATTCATTCTGTTTTTTCTGTAAATAAGAATCTATTTTTTTTTTTAGAATATTTTATTAATTTTTACTGTTTAAATATTTCTATTTTTTTCCAAGAATTTTTTATTCTGTCTTAATAATCATCATTATCATTATTAATTAAATCAAAACTAAGTAAACAATGCTTTAAAATGAAAATTAAAGCAACGTTAGCTTTTCATCAATAATAATTCCTTTTTTTTTGTTTTTAAACAGTAAAAAATTTTTTGTTACTGAGATTGAAATAATATTCCATTAATTTTTTTTTTTTTTTTTTAAATTAAAAATAAAAATTTATGTTTCTTTGCAGTTACATAAAAATATATCTCAAGGGTAAACCATGATTTTTAATGTATTTTTCTGACAAAACAAAAAAAATAGAAAAACATTAAAAATGTTTTTTTTTTCTATGATTTTTTTTTCTCAACATATAAACAATTCAAACTTTATTTCAAAAGAATGAAACTCACACTGCATACATTTTTTTTTTCCTAAACCCCGAAATATCCTCGAGGCAACGTTTTTTTTTTTAACAAAAAAACATACCGATTGAATGTTTTAAAAATTTTACGTTTTTTTTATATAAAAGTTTCTGACGAAAAAAATACACATGTTGTGTATGTAAAAAATGTGATATAACTAATTGCTTAGTTGGAGTAGAATGAAGAGTATGTTGTTGATTGGACAATGATTTTAGTCTAAGAACACTAGTCAATTAATCAAAAGACAGAGAGAAAATATATGTTAACGATAGACATATACATAATAAATTGAGTAAGGTCGTAGTGGAGTAAAGCGTGGCACAACAAGGTACGGTTTCGAACGACAAGTACGTCGACGTGCGGAGACGTCGGAGTTGACTCGTACTCTCTCGCGTGACTCGATGATTCACGAGTGTATACTTGCTCTTGCTTACCCGTCTGCCAACTGTCCCATCTCTTCCGTATATACCTTGAAGCCAAGAGAGTTTCGTGCTCTCTCCTTTTCCTTTTACCCTTTCATCACGTTGTTTGACACGTCAATTTAATAGTCCTTGATGAAAATAAGAGTAAACAAGTGCTTGGAAGATTGCACTACGTTTTCTGTATTCAAACTTGGCATCCGATTTTAATCCATTTAACAACGATAACGAAGGCGTCTCGTGGTCAAGAGCCATTTTGGAGCGAGTCCGTCACGTTCGTGCTCTCAAAGCTGTTAAGAGCAAGTTCTGAAGGGTCCTTGACTTCTTGGCTTAATGCAAAATCGAAGTCAATCGCCGCTAGCTAAGGTGCCAATATCGATTCGGCACACTTGGCTTCATATGTTCCATCATTGCGTACATATATATTATTATTATATATATACATTACATTACATATACAGTGCTGGTCAAAAGTAGTTCATAACTCTATTCAACTTATGGCGTTTTCCTCTAAAATTAACATTGCTAAGTAAATATTCTCCTCAAATACATATCTTCTGGCTCGGTTTTTCCCTTTAATATTTTCTGTTAGATTGATTTTAATTTTCCGCTTACTTCAATTTGTTATCTTTAATAGAGAAATTCCAATGTTAATTTAAATTAGTATTCATATCGCATCATCTTAAATTTATTACATATTTTGTCAACTATGAATATTATGTTTTAATCTATGTTTAACATGCCATTCTGCTCATACTATTATTTTAAACAAATGAAATTTTATTATAAATAGTTAAAAAGTTAATTTAATTGAGATTAATAACTCTAAAAAATTAGAATAACAGAATGGAGTTATTAATTAACGTTTTAATTAATTAGAGAGATAATTTAGCTAATGTAATGTCTTAGTGTTTTAGTAATTGCAGAAATAGTATAGTGTTTGATGAAGTTGTTTACTAAATTTCTACCAAGACTGTAGAGAGAAAGCATATAGGTATGCAAAGATATATCAATAGCATCAACTATCTAAATACGTACATATGTAACGAAGGACCTGTGTGACTCTGTGATACATAGTCATCAGGTATAGATTGAACATCTTCTCGGTTTGACTTTGGCCGTAAATTCGTTGAAGCCGTTTTCAGAATCAAGAGAGTGTCTTGGCCAACAAAATAACCCGAGGGATAATTGAAAGCAATTCTGCACTGCACTCTCGCTCGAACCGACATTAATTTAACTGGGTGACAGGCCGGAACGTCCTCCCAATCGGTAATATAGTGTATATATTGCCGTAGAAGTAGGATTTACTATTTTATGAGCATTTTTTCCTCATCATTTTGATTTGTCTTCTTCCCTTTCCACTAGTTCTCTTGTAATATAATGAAATTCACTAAGTGAGAGCAAGCAACGATGCGGTGGGTAAATTGCCCTCATCCATGAATCGGTATCTCGGTGGTTTTATCTTGAGGCGTCAAGACGAAAGCTTTTTAATTTCATACTTTACTTCTCGCCAAAATTGCGCACTTTCTTCTTCTCCTTCTTCAAGTGTGGTAGAAGCAGGACGACGAGTAATTTACGAGCGACACGTGATCAAGAACCGACCACTTTGTCTTTTTCCACTTCTTTCTAGTTTCCATTTTTCCTTGTACTTTTCCTTCTATTTCACCCTTTGTCTATCTTAAAACTTCCTCAACTTTGTAAATTCCCTACCATTGGATTCCCAAGCTTTTTCATTTTCCACCCGGAAAAACTTGTGGCTACGGAAAAATCCTCTCGACTCGATGTTTTGTGGAGGCAAATAATAGATTTATCAATCTTTCAAGAGCAATGCCGAGCTTGGAAATTGAATATAGTTCTATACCTTGAATACATGGTGGGGTAGATGGAATATTTCATGCTCTACCATGCCATCTATATTTGTTTTCTTTTATATAAATAAAATTTTTTTTTAAGCCGCTTGTTTCGCTAGCTATACCCAAGCACAAATTTATCGTACACTTGGGATTGTAGGGGGGGAGAAAGGAGGGTATATGTAGGGTGAATACCAGTGTACATCGAAATGCACAACATACATGCAAGAGAGCAATGCTTTACACGTAAACGACGCTCGATTTACTAGTATGCTTTACTCACGAATTTTTCTATCTTGTTTCAGGCGAAGTAATCGGGCAGCGCTTCCTGGGCAACGAGAGTCACGTGGAGCACTTCAAGCTTCTCGAGAGGGCGCCGACTTTTATACTGATCGGTGCAAGGTAATTTTTATTTTTACACGCAAAAACCTTTTTAATGTAATCATACTTTTATCTAAATTCCCCATCAACTATTTTTTCCCTCACGGTCATTTCGTTGAATTTTATACGAATTTTTCTACCACTCAAACGTTAAATTACTTAAGTATTCTAACGATTGAGTGCATCAGTAGGTCTTGAACAATGAATTTGTCGGCGGGAAATAGCGACGACAAAGAGAGAGAGAGCGAGAAAGTTAGAAAAGCACGGAGAAGATTGGATGGCTGTAAAACGTTCGCGTCATTTTCGTATGTAAATTTTTTACGAGCTTGTTCCTGTGCTGCACTCACGATTGCGGACTCGCCGTTTTCCTTTGGGTGCGAATTTTTTCCGTCATAATAAAAGAAAAAAAATAATAAAACAAGTTTAAACATCAAAATAAAAAAAAGTAAAAATAATATAGAGTAGATGAATTAATGTTGGAGACTCAGTAGGATGTTCTCTGCTGCAAAGCAGTCTAGAATCGAGGATAGAAACGACTGTGGGGGATTCTCAGTCGCGCGCGCGAGAGCGGTATACCGAGCATAATCAATTTCACGTCCGACCGCGAGCTAAGCCGTCACGAGCCTCCGATAATGGATGCACACGTTTATCACGCGGGCACGTACCATCAAACTCGATAATTATGCACAGCCCTACTAATTGAGGAAGATCGATGAGTCTATGATGACAGCATCTAGACCTACCTTCTGTATCTATATGCTTATATGTCTATATATTATACATATACGCTAATAAATTCTAGTCCCCAAGCATCTTACAACCATTTCACTTAATTATACAACTTCCTTCAATACACTGGAATTGATGATGATTTTTAGTGAATTTAAATTACCATCAATTTCACCTCTACCATCTGTAGATTATCGTGAAGATTCATTTTTTCTTGCATGAATTGCTTTAAATGTCAACCTTTTATTCTAGGAAGCCACTCATATAACTAAAAAATTATCTATATCTCTTTGTAAAATATTATTACAATAAATTCCATTTCTTTATTCGAAAGAAGATTACTGTCTGACATTTGTTAAATACTAAACATAAATTTTACTCTTCAAAAGTAGTATAAAAATATCAGTTGTTCGAAATCATTTTTTTTTTCTATTTTATTAATGCAACCTACTCTATAAGATAATTTTTTTTTTTACCCTCAAAAAAAAATATTGATAAATTTTTTTGTGTCTGTAAAAGGGGAAAATATGTACATTACGTGAATAAATTCTGAAATTCTGCATCGTTAATAAACATTTTTCTTTTTTATTTTCAGAAATGCAATCTACAATATTAGTCTACATGATCTCACAGAAATAGCAGACCAGGTAAACTGAAATATTTTATACCTAAAACAAAATATTTATTCAGCTCATAATAATCTAAAAAAGTATATTGTAAATCAAAGTGTTTGTTAAAATTTTATACTTAAAGATTTATTAAACAGTTGAATTTACAGTGTAGAGAAATGAACAAGTATCACTAGCAAATTAGTGACATCGAATATCAAAGAGATTAGTAAATATTGTAAAAAGGAGGTTTATCTAGTAGTTTAAACGAGTTAAAAGGGGTTGAAAAAAAATCCAATCGGTGATAAAAGTATATAAAATGAGATTTAACTTTTCGATTTTCTGGCAGGGATCCATTTTGATAGTAACATTGAGTAAATGGCTAAAATGTAAATTAGATAATCATGTTAACAGGCATCCACATCCGTACGCTGTGCACACATATCCCTTTTCTCCAGTTGAATTCGGATGTGGAGGAAAATGCAATGAAAAGCCAAGCGAAAACTGGCAAAGTTGAAAGGGATGAGAGTCGTCAAGAAGAAATCCCGTTAATGACTCGCCCGGACTAAAACGAAACCGACTAGAAGCTCTTTTCCTCTTTCTTCAATGTTACTAGCATCATGACGTAGTGCGCGTTGGATTTTCCGCGAGTCTGCATAGCTGGAGAAAATGCTGAGAAAACACGCTTGGCCACGACAAGCTTGTTGACGATGTAATCCGCAAGAGAAACTTTTCCGAAAGACTAATTAAGTCTAGTTCTACAGCTTCTCTATACCTATATACTTGTACATCTATATCAACTGTTTAAGTTTGTGTTGACTTTTTGGAGTTTAAATGCGAATTGCAAGAAGAGAAGCTTCGATTAGAATCTACGGATCAATCAATATATGGCTACTAGTGCACACCAATTACATTACACACACATTACAAACACCAATACGACTTCCGTTGTCGCCACGACACTACCTCGGGATAGTCTAGACCGCGTTGCTGGCTACGCAGTGAGAGGCGGCTCTGACCGGTCATTCACTCAGCCGTAGTAAAAACTTGCCAGCAACTGTCGGTCGCGCATAACCTGATCCACATCGACTATCTTGCCGTTCTGCTACTCAAAGTGTTCAACCTTCCTCGCCTCTTTACTCTCCAGTACATCCATAACATACTATAAAGTTGGAAAAAAAAGCCTTCTAATAAATTACAGTACTCTAGTAGAAATGAAATTAAGGCAGTGATAAAGCTTACTGAAACAAAAAAAAATTCCCCCTTAATTTTTCATTAAATTTTAAATCCTTTGTGATGTTAAAAGAGAGATAAATTTTTATTTGTTGCTTTTAAAACTTTTATTTATTTTTTCAGCTTAAGTTTTACCTTTTTTTTTTACCATTCTATTCTCACTGACGATTGTGAATTATTTGTTGATGAAATGAAAGTGTTGATATTTATTTGAAAACATTTCTTCAAATAAAAATCTTCTTGAAAACAAAATATTCTACATAGTTAAATTTATTTGATCATTGCCTTAATTTGATTAAACCAACACTTCACTAAAATTATTGATGATTACTCTAATCAAATGCTAAAATGTTGGAGAAAATTTCTACTCTAGTATTGGTACAGATAATTTCAAACGTTTATAGTATCCTAAAAGAAGCAGTTAAGCTTTTTTAGAAGCCTGGGGGTTTCATTAAGTTCACAGTCGTTAAGTGGACAGGTAATTAAACTGACATTTCAAATTTTTGCTGTTAAAGATCAACATAAAAGTGCAAATTTCGTATGGAAACGAAAAGTAAAGGGAAAAAGAAAAAAAGGAAAGCTCTTGTTTCTTGGCATCATGATGAAAATAAAAATAACAATAATAATTTAATTTACTATTATGGTGGTTGCTAAATTGATTATAATGGTAGTTTCATGTCCTCTTAATACTTGTAGTTTTTTCTGTTGATATTTTTCACTCACTTTAATTGCTTATACAGCCAGTGAACAAATAATCTTGATACTTTGTACGAAAATACTGTTGAAAAGTACATGATGATAGGAGCTTTTATCAACCAGCGTCTCTCTATTTTCAAGAATCCTTATCAATTAATCCTCTGGGGATAAAACTAAGAAAGCTGGACCCTTTTAGCAGAGTTGATGTCGTCAAGTTAAATTCTAAAAAAGCTTTTTATCTATCATAAAGCTTTAATGGTTCTTCGATATTTTTGGTCATAAATGACACGAATGTAAGGGTTGTTGGATCATAAAACAGAATCTTGACCTTATTTAAAATTTCAATTTGTTCGCTTTTGAATAAGGAAAAAAAAATTGATGTTGAAGGATGTTGATGGCAGTCAGGACCTCTTAGTGAAAAGTCTTTATTACCAAAAGGTCGACGGTGCAATTAGCTTGATACTGGGACGTCGATTATGTTGACGAGAATATTGAGAGAAGTTTGTATAGCTTACGTCTATATAAGATGCAGGATGTTCTTTTACTTCATGCTTTGGATCCCGTCCAAATGGATTTGTCGTCAAGCATCTCATCCTTTTTGCTTCTTTTTTATGATATTTTTTTTTGTTTCCTGCCCCTCCACCCATTTCATGTTTTTCTCATGTTCGTTTCTTACAGGCGTTTGCAGTTTTACGGGAAACTCGAATGTCAGGCGTTACGTCGTTATCTACTCTGCACAAAAGTAGCATCGTCCACGTAATTTTATACCAAGCTGTTCTAAGAAGTTTATTTCTAATGTGAACCTTCTCCAATTTTATGTCGACTTTTATATATAAATTTTTTTATTTTTTTTCTTATGCTCTCTTATCAGCTACTATACCAACAAAATGTCGTTATAACAAAGACAATACTGACTCACTTCATCGGATTATATACCTAGTACGGTATCCATGAGACGTCTTACATTTTTACTTCCGTCATCGTCTGCCTCTTTCTTTTCTTTATTGGAGTCATGGCCACGGGCATATTATAATACCCCGAAAAAATTTAATAAGAAGAAAAATTACAGTCTCCCTACTTCCTTAGACTTCATAATTCTTCCATACAATCCTTGCTGAAATTATCTTTGCTAATATAACTGCTTTAAATGAATTAACAAATGACTCTGGACCCTTCCGAGAGACAGATTTACTAAAAATAATATTTTACGTTGATGGAATTATTTTTATCATTCCATATATTCGTGAGAATAATGAAGTTGGTTTATTAAAATTAAAAATAAAACAATTTATGATTATATAAATTTTATTCTTAACTATTAGTGTGATTATTATTTATAAAAATATCATATTGTATTATATTGATAATCTTCTTACTATAATTTTTTATTATTCATTTTACTGAATTAATAATCTCCTTATTTGGATGTAAATTTTTAATCGCTAAAAAATTATTTTTCGATAGAAAAAAATTAATAAATAATGCATCATTTTTAAATTTACATTTTAACCATCATGGAAATAAAATAAGACAAAGTCGTTTAAAGTTACCCCTCACTATTAGTCAACCATGTGTCAATACCAATCATTTTATCATTTTCAAATGCAGTCACTTTTAAAATCTCTAATATCACATAATCTACGTTAAAATGAAAGAAAGATAAACTTCTTGAAATAACGAAAATTTAAATAAAATAAAAAATTACTCAGCTGACCAACTTCACCTTGAAAAGACTCAACTATTTGAACTGTCATTCAGTAGTAAAAGAGTTCGTTTGATAAAAAAAAAATATTATTTCATCTCAAGAGAAATTCCATTATTTTCAGTTATTATAAACTTTATTTACTTTGTTGATAACCTATAAAATCTTCTTGAAAAGTAAAACGTCAATAACAAAAGAAAGCTTTGAATACTCTAGAAAAGATTTAAAATTCCGTACTTGTGGAGCTATCAATTCTCTCAAGACTGCAATTTTTTATTCATGAAAAATCTCGAAAAATAATATTAAAGGCTTATCGATTATAATGAAACCATGATCTAGGACAAAGAGAGTAAAGAATGGAGAAAAAGGCAAAGTGTCCCGTTAGATGAAAGTGCTTTTTGCAGTCAAAATGCATTCAAAAGGTACATAACACAAAGAGAGCTGTGCAAAAGCGAGTAGGAGGAAGTACTGAGAGAAGTTGACGTGTGCGCACGACGAGTTAGCAGTCACGCGCCATCCATCCATTTCCGTTAAATGTCTACGTCAAAGAGGGCTTTAGCACAAATTAAATCTATTCTCAGTTGGTGTTCCACAGGCGTTCATACTCCTGGCCTACGGTTCTGCTTCGTTATTTCTGATAACTTGAAAAGGTGTACCAACATCAAGTTGAGATTCCCTCGTGCACTGATGTCTTCTCTGTTATCCTTCAGCTCTCTTTCCGACCCTTTCACCTTGCCTATTTCCGCTTGTCGCGCCTGACAAAAGGGAGACGAAGCAAATTTAATCTATTTACCGTAAAGCAAGCATACAGAGTCCCCATCTCACTTACTCGTTCCACCCTACCGTTCGCTCTTTTCTGCGATCTTTCTTCAGACTATACACACCACCAGGTGTATAATACGCAGTAAGTGGACAAAGTCGTCTGTCGTGTCCACCAACTGAAATTATTCCACACCATTAGTTCACCCTCTGTCCTTCCCTTGACAACTAAATACATATAATACCACACACTAAACACACATGTAGAGAACCAGACATTCAAGCTCAAAATTACCTAAAGGCTTGTGAACCCTTATAACTGCTTAACTGGTTAGCTAATCGTCCTACCAACTTTTCCAAGTACTATTTCAACCTCATCTTTTTTATTTATACTTGTCTTTTATCCTCAAAACTGTCTAGCTCTATTGATGGACTTGTAACTTTATAGGGAGTGATGCTACCAGATGTTTTAATTCATAAAAAGTTTAAAAAAGGTCTTTCAAATTATTTCTTCATAGCAATTACTGGTTTTAATGTCGCTAAAAAACGTGGAAAATTCTGCTTGATAAATCAACGCTAATAGCATTGATGATAAAATTCAAAAAGTCATGTCAAATGAGAAATAGATACTCGAAATAATATTAATGGCTATCAGTTTCAACTCATCGTTCTGTATCGATTTTCTGATATGCTCTAGTTATCATTATTAGCAGATACTTATAGGTTTATCTGTCATTAATTATTAATTTATATTTCCTCTTCATATTAAATCCACTATTTTTAACTCAAATAATAAAATTATCATGTCAAATCAATTTTTAAAACAAATGCTCAATCATATTGATAACATTTTTTACAGAGATAATAAAGAAGAATATTTTTTTAATATCATTTTCTATAGAACCAAATAATTCGTGGAAGTTATTAAAAATTAAACATGTTCGTCAATAAATTTTTTTATTATTTAAAATCTTAGTATTAATTGGATTTGTCTATTAAAAAAAAAAAATTAATTGAATAATTCAATTAATTAATTAAATAATACAAGTGACCTAAATAATGATAAAAATATTTTTCACATACATTATTCAATTGAATTCTCATAGGTACATAATTTTTTTTCCATTCTTTCACCTCAAAGTATCTCCAAATCCTTGAACCTGTGAAAGAGAAGAAACTATTGAAGTGATCAATGACACTTTAATTTTATGTAAAAAAATTCTATTGACTATGTGTGTGTTCTTTGGTTAATTTCGGTAAAACTTTCAGCAAATGAACAAGTTTATTTTATTAGAGGGATCAGTGTAGTTGTGAGTTAGGGAGTGAAACAAACTGCATGTGGAAGAAAGGAGAACCTTTAACTACTCTGCTTCAGAGTATTTTACCTTGTGGCTAAACAACCTGAAACATTTGCTGTAATTTATGAATCCTAATTTTACGTGAAACTCAGCTTCACCTTTATGGGGTACTTTGAACTCTTGACCCTCTCATATACAGTTTTGTCGTCTGATGAGTTGAGCTAAATGCTTCATTAATGAACTCAAAATCTTCTTCTTAAAGTAATAATAGAGATTATCTCACTCAAAGAACATTATATAACACGTGCATTATTTTAAAATCCTATTAGCTATTATTTCACGATATTTAAGCAAGAAATATCATTTTAAAATCAGATTAACTCATTTAATGGTGGGAATGTTTATTTTTAAAATGTCAGAACAAAATAAGTTTATACTACTTAAAAAGGAATTTAACGAATCAAATGTAATTAATATTTCATTTATTTATATCATTTTAATATTATTATTATTATTATTATTATTATTATTATTATTAAAGTCGTGTTTTTAAAGTAATTATAATTACATAATTAAAATAATAAAAAATTTTGTTTAATTTGATTTTGACGTTTTTTTTTTATATTTAAAAACTCATTAAAAAAACATTTCAGTTATGAAACTTTCCAAATTTCTAACAGTAGTACATTTTGAAATTTTCATTTGCAATTTTTGAACGTACTTCTCTATTACATTTTAAACTTCAACAAAACTTCATGTAATATTAACTTCTGGCCATTATTTTTTTTTCCTATCAACATAAAAGTAATTCTTGTGACTGATATAGAAAAAATGAATTTATTTTTTATCGAAGTGATGTTATTGATTGAAAATGAAAATCAAGTTGATGAAGGACACAATTTTAAAACTATTGTGAATATCCTAAAATAACTGTTGAATTTTCTCTCTATAGATTCGTTAAAAAAAATTATTCTTCCATCGGAGAAATTTTTCAATCGAAGCATAGCCTGTATTATTCGTTGATTTTGTTACACCCTCACATTTTCGATCGATTAAAATTTTTTTTATTTCCATCGTTCGAGTAACAAGAATGATAAATCTGATCATGCGCAAGACAAGAACAATACAATTGAAAAACGAAAATTTATTTTGGTGAAATTAGTACTGGCAAGCGTATCGTTATACCTGTCTACACGTTGCTATATACAACTATATCCTATCCATGTACATATATATGTATAGTTGGAAATATGTATATGTGAAGGGAATAAGAGCTCGACCGGAAGCAGAGAACTGCGAAACCCGTGTATAAGCCGTTGAATATTCAGTGCGATTTTGCGGTTTAAACTTTTAGCGAGGTCTCTCGCGCGCAGCCACCCACGCCTGTTACGACGTGGTCGTATTCTAATTAGGGCAAAGTGGAGACGAGAACTCTGTGTTGAAGCGAGCAAGCAACGACAGACAGATTCTCTGAGAATGAAAATCAAGATATAAATTAAAAGAAAATTCTCTTTGTTAGAATATTACTCAGCCATTATTTTTCTCGTATATATTTTCCAGTCCTCGGTCATTTCATACTCCCTTTTACTGCTGTGAAAAAAGTATTATTTCAAAATAATCAATTTTTGTTTTTTACTTTCTTAATAATAATAATTCATTTCATTAACTTTTTCTTTCAAATAAAATTTATTTCATCTTAAAGTTTATGCGCCTTACCTTCATTTTTTTTTTGTTCTTTTTAATGTACGAATTTTTTTTTTAACGAATTATTAATTACCGAAGAAAAATTTTCTTCTTACTGTGAAGGCTCATAACTCATGAACGAATCGTAGTAAGAACTTACCAAGAACCATTTAATATCCACTGGAAAGATGGCCTTTCAAATACACCAGCTAATTTTTATATTAAATTACATGAATTAAAATGAGTTATGTGAAAACAATAAAAGTTTCAAATTTTATATTAAATTAAAAAAAAGAAAAAGAGAGAAAAAAATGTGAACTCATAAAAGAATTGCCTTGGAATAAAAAACATCATTAATATTCCTACCAATATTTTTCTAGCTATAAAAAAATTGTATTTATTACATAAATAAGTTTTTTGTGCAGTGTATAAAGACAAACAAAAAATTTTTAATCAACTTCGAAATACGTGTGAATAAATTATTCATCAAATTATGTTAAAAAAAAACTTTACGATAGAGAAATTAGTTAAAAGAAGTTTGATAAAAATATTGAAGACTAAAATTTATCTTTAAAATTAACTCTTTTTTTTTCGATCAATATCTTGATAAAAAATTTTTACAGAATGCTTGATTGTGTATTTAACATCGACCTAAAACTCTCAGTTCTAGATTAATTATATTCTTTAATCAAAATTCGTCTCAGTCACATTTTTCACCATCCTAATAAATTAGAAAATTTTTTCGTCAACGTTAATTAAAAAAAAATAATAATGAGTTTATTAACGGTATAATTTTTTGATCTGTTTCAGAGAGTGCAGTGGTCAAGCTCGATAGCACATAAAGAGCTGTGTAATTTAAAGGGTGCCAGTGAGGATGACTGTCAGAATTACGTTCGTGTGTTTGGTCGACAAGGACCAAATAAATTCATAGCTTGTGGTACTAATGCTTTCAAGCCTTTGTGTAAACAATTTATATTAAGTAAGGTAAGTAACACAACATTGGTTGAAATATTCCACGTATTTACCTATTTAATATTCCGTCATTTGCAAGATGACAGAATTGTTAGTTCAAATATTAGATGGTAGAGTGGAAATGAAACATTTTGCCCGATAAAAACCGGAAATGTGTATTGCAAAAAACACCGGATGTCAATTAATATTTCAGTCCCTGCGGCATTGGCGACATGAATCGTCATGTTAATTGAACAAGCCTTTTTACCCCTTCCAAACTCTCTCAATCCCTCTCCGCCTTTTTTTACGTTCACGTTCGAAAGCTCTCGATGACGCCTGTCACACAAACACGAGAACTGATAAAATACTTCACTAATGGAGATTGCCACCATGAATATCGGACGTTACCTGTCAAAGCAATCGACCTACGTGTGTTTGCTTTTTTCGGCTCTCATGTGCGCGCTGGCAACGTCTCGGTTGACCGGCGATGTGCGAAACGAATGCAACCCTCTGGGGTTCAAAAAAATACAAAAGTCCTGTACTAGTGTATACCCCTACGGCAATCGATAAAGGTTCAATGAGTTGATTTCAGTATTTTTCTTGAAAGATACAATCAAAAAGGCAACTGAATAAATACATTGTGCGTGTGTGTGTGTGTGTGTGTGTGTGTGTGTGGGAGAGAAAAAGAGAGATAGAGAATGGGTTAATTGCTGTTTTAAATGTTTTGTTAATAATTGAGTCATAATAATTATTAAATGAGCAGTAAATTGCCTGTGGTTAAATGTTCTTAAAATAATATCTAGTGCTTTAGAAGTTGGTAATTAATTTTAATAATTGAGATAAATTAACATTTCATATTTTCTTTTTATTTCTAGAATTAAAGATTAAATACCTGAATCGGAACATTAAGTACAGAGAAAAAAAATAAATGATTGAATTATGTTGGTACTTTATTCTTCACAGATTATGTGTGAAAATAACAGAAGAAATTACAATGACATTCTCTAAACAATTTTCTGTAAATATTTGACGAAAATTATGTCACAATAATTTTCAGTAAAACCCAAATAGATTTTCCATGCTGTGGTAAATCGTCTAGTTTCTAGGATGTTTAATTAATAAATTCCATATTCAGGTTGACATATTTGTCACATTAAAATTTTGTATCAATTTTTTGCAAATTAACCACAGTAAATTACATTCTTAAATCAATTTTTTACTGAATGTTAGAGATAATTAAAATCTCTAATAATATTATCTCTTAATTGTTAACCAGTTTGTTAAAAATTAACGAACAAAGAAGAGAGTTAATACATAAATTGATAAATGATATATGAAAATTTTCATGACTAATAATGAACCTAGTGAAATATTAATTATTACTCTGAAGTGGAATGAAAAAATTAGAGCATAAGTAAAATTGAAAAAATAGTTGAATAATGTAGTTTTATCGGGGTGACATTTGTTGAAAGTATGATTTTACATTAAAAGAATAATCATAATAATGCAAATGTCTAGCAATAAATTAGACAGCACCATTAAAAAAGTTCAGTGTAAGAGAGAAAAGGGATAAGAGAATAAATTCCATGTAACGTTTTACAAGTCAAGAGGCCTGGTGCCATACAGTTTAAAAACTTGTTGCCTACTTTTAGACAATCCTCTTGAACTACACATGTACTCTTTGCTCTTTCGACATTGCGACTTTCATAAAAGCTGTAAAGGAATGATTTTATTCTCAAGAGTACGCTAGACTGACGGTGTTGGTATCGTTGGAGACCTCTAGGGAAGCTTAAAAGTAATCGATTATTAATGGTGACAGTAGGATAGATTTAAAAGGCCAATTTAAAACACTGAATTTCCCTAAAAGCATAAATTAACTGATAAATGTTTTTCTTCTTTTGCTGACGTCTCTCAACATGATGAAGTATATTTTGGTAGACCGTTAAATTGGTAACGTTGCATGGAAGTTTTGTTGTTTATACAATGCCTAAATGTATCCGGTAATATATCAAGGATGAGTTAGACCATGTTTAGTTTGGCGAGAATGCGGGCACGGTTTGATGCAATCGAAGGAATCTGAAGGGAGAGGTGCACGAATATGTACCGATATAATCCTTGTGCCAGCAATGCAAAACCGCATGAGCGTCGATTTGGTCGACACTGGTGCATTACCACCAATTGCTGTACACTAGATACCCGAGGCTTCGTTTCACCCAGAGGATCGATTGCCATTCGCTGCTACCTTCCCACTTCACCATACACCAATCCACTACACACCATACAATCCTACACACATTTACTTAGCTGTGCTTTTTTTCTCCAGCCGATCGTCATATCGATTTTTCCTCTCGACGCCTATGGAATACCAAAAGCGACCACTATATCTTTTACTTTGTAGTTTCTACGAGTCGAAAGTTGGTTTTGATCACGCTGAAAGATCAATAGATCGGCCTGATGGAATTCCGTAGACTTATTATAGCTGCTCAAGTGCTAGCAAAAACGTTTTATTCAAGTCAGAGAATAGAATTTACATTTTTTATCTATGCCTTAGGTATTGTTTCCCTTACGTACGTGAATGTCGTAATATTTTTTTTTTACTAATAAATTATCTTAAATAATCTATTGTTAGTGATATTACTTCAGATGATAGAAATTTATGCAGACTAAATTTCCATAAATATGTAAATTGTAATAAAAGCTGTCGCAAGTAGATTGATATAATGATTTTCGTTGCTTAATTGGCCATTTTATTAGTAAGTTCTATTTTGAAATAAACAAGAGCTTGAATACTAAAATAAATAGATGATTGTGGGTTCAAAATAATATCATGATAAATAATACAGTTATCTAGAAATGTTCAATCAAGTCAATCTAACATCTAGAATTCTCCTCAAGGTATTATTGGTGCTCTTATTTTCTAGAGATATGTATACTCATTTATTATTAAACATACAAATGGAGTTATGAAATAATAAACTTTTAAAAACTATTTCTAAAATACCTTGAATATATTTATAAAAATAGACATAGTGATGCAATATTTTTTTTCTATGAGATATAAAAATAAATCAATAGTCATTCAGTAAAAACATGACAATAAAAATGATGTAATCAAACTTTCCCTTTAACCAACTATTCATCATCAAGGTCTTTCATTAGAAAATTGAACATATGAGCATGGAACTTCATTTAGAATTGAATAAGTATAACATCCAAACGATTAGCTAGCATAGGAAACATGTCAAAAAAAGGAGAAATGAATGTATTTCGGGGCACTCTTTTCATTTAGATGCTTGATATACTATTTTTTGTTTGCATGAATGTCGCTTATATTAGTACGCATAAAGTTATATGGCAATTTTTTGCTTGGTAAGCTCGATTTATAGAGATTCTATCCAGCCAGCCTATCTCAAAATCTCCAGCCCTCGAATCGAGACTTTTTTTCCGTTGAATCGGCTGGGGGATTATGTGGGTCACACAAGCAAACGCCACGCGGATAATATCGCGGTCCAAGCCAAGCTGTCTGATATCCCTGGATACGAGGGATACTACCAACTACTAGGGGTAGTATATTTTGGAATCAAGCCAACTAACCCAACGCTCACTTCTCATCCCTTTTACTCGTCGCGAGTCACATTTACCTTCAACTTGGCGTCGTTGGATTGCATCACATGTACATGGATAGACATACACATGTGATACCAAAGCCCTGGAATACGAAGTACATTTGGTTCCATGCTCCGCACATGAGCCACTGATGGATCTATCCATTATCCTGGTTGTGTTATATTCACCTACACAATTGTAAACCGGGAGCAGCCAATTATTTGTTATCGTACAGCAGGAGCTGTCAAAAAGTTTCACCAAGCCGTCAACTGAAATCGTAGAATCAGTGTGTGGCGACTGATGACAGCTTTATGATTGCTAATAGCTTAGAATGGAATGTGTAGTCTTGATGAAAGCTTCCGCATAGCTATTTTAACCAGCACTCATTCATCTGTTCCACCATGACGATGCACTCTTGATGTTTGTTAGAGTAATCAACTTCTTTCAGTCGTACCGGATTCATCTATATGATTTTTAACCGGATGCCATTCAACAGGAATCACGCTTGACAGATGGAAAAATTTATATTCCATGGTGAAATAATTATTATAAAGAATGTGTCATTATATTAATCATATTTGACAATCTTTTTAACCACCAAAGGTCATTTTCAATTAACCACTGGTTTCCTTCAATTCCATCATTGATGTTGCATTAAATCTGGATTAAAAGATTCATCAGTTATACTTCTCTTCAAGGCTAAATCTTTTTACAAGTCATTTGGTAGTACTTTGAACAATTTTCTTCAAGACTCTACAAGAAGAAAAAAAATTCTTTTCAGTTAAAAGTTCTAATGGTTTTCAGTATTTTTAATTATAAAATCATTCTTTTTTTTATGACAACCATTGCAGGTCTTATTTTCTTCCATGCTTCCTCACTTGAGTCTATTTTTAGTCAAGTTTTCTGTGCTACAAATGTTCTTCTCGAGTTTGATTTTCTAATCGATATTTTAAGATTTCTTTGTCACTTATGTGAGTTAAAAATTCACGATTATTTTTAAATGTACAATACCCTCTCTAAATTACTTCTTTAATAATTTATACTATTCCAATTATCAATTATTCATGCATCAATTATTTCCACTGTTTCATTATTCAGAGATATTTGAGTTCTTTCAAATGTCAAACTAATTTGTTGTGAAGTTTTTTATCATATCAACTATGGAAAGATTGATCAATCGCTTGTCTAGATCGCATTCCTTTCAATATAAAAAAAAACCTTCAATTTTCTCTTCACTTTTCCATGAATAATTCTATAAATACATTTCAATAACAAATAATCCCATTAAATCGTGTTACAGCATTACATATTGTAACTACTTCACAGAGCTTAAGAGATTAATTGTATCAACTGTTCCTGTAAATTTAAAAAATCATGGATTTCATAAATGAATTAAAGTTCATTGTATGAAAGTTTTATATAAATTT